TGGCAATGGGAAAGATTCCTTTTTTTTTTTTTTTTTTTTTTGAGTTAGAGTCTCACTTTTCTACCCAGGCTGGAGTGCAGTGGATCATGGCTAATGCAACCTCCACCTGCTGGGCTCCAGTAATCCTTCTGCCTCAGCCTTCCAAGTAGCTGGAACCACAGGCACATGCCACCATGCCTAACTAATTTTTAAATTTTATTGTAGAGGCAAAGTCTCATCATGTTGCCCAGGCTAGTCTCTAACTCCTGGGGTCGTGCAGTCCTCTGCCTCGGCCTCCCAAAGTGCTGGAAGTACAGGTATAAGCCACTGCGTCTGGCAAGAACAACCCCTATGGGGCACCAGTGAGCCAGTCACTTCTGCAGACTCATAGAACCCCCCTATCTGTGGCCAAGCCCAGCCTCAGACTCCCAGTAGTCCTTGACTCAGCTTCAAGATCTTCCTGCCCCTCCTCAGGAACTTGCAGGCTCATGGCTGCCTTTGAGGCAGGTGGCAGCTATCCTTCCATTGCTTAGCCAGGCAGAGCAAATATTTAATGATGATTTCCTGTCCTAAGGCAAGAACAGCATTTCATAAGAGGGGCAGGGACTTCAAAGGTCATCTAGGTTTATTCTCGCATCTTCTGCTTGGGCCTTCCACAGCAGCCCCACCATGAGGTGATTCATCCTCCATGGATGAATGTGGAACTCACATGATGTGGAACTCACTACCTGCCAGTTTCATTGTTGGATGGCTTTGAACAAAGAGTGTCCCTCTTTACATAAGAGGTCAGCTTCTCTGAAACTCTTTGGGGGTCCAAGCATTGTCTCTGGCCTCCTGTACCTGCATGAACCCCAAGTGAGCACCTCCAGGCTGATCAGGTCCAGTCCCTTGCCTGCTACCCACCCTTGAACATGATGAAGCCCCTGGATCTGTCTTCATTTCTTGTCTGATCCTAGGTCTATCTTTCAGCATCCTAGGTTAGAGAGATGGGAACAGGAGAGCAAAGGGGTTTGTCTCCTCCCTTGTTTTGAACCTTAGACCTCTATCATTGTGAACAAACCCAGATTGCTTCACTCCTGGGCCAGAACTCCCCTCTGGTCCTCTCTTCTGCATGCTGGAGGAGCCAGAAGAGGGGAGCGTGAAGGAGGGGTTGGCTCAGGCTGGAAGGAGGCATCCTTGCCCCTTTGCTAGAGACACATTAGGCACTGTGACCCGGGCCATACCACCTGGGGTCTGGTGTGTGTCTGGAAGCTATCTTGGGCTCTTGCAGCAACCCAGGAGCAATCAATGTGGCAGGAATGGCTGCCGATGGTCCTAGCTGCTGCAGAGGACCAGGAAGTTTGAATTCTGTATCCTTCAAAGTACAGATTAAAACCAAGGACAGCCTCTGGAGTGCTGAGCCTTCTACCGTCTCAACCGGTTCAAGGTCTCTTTCCTTGGACAAACACCTCCTAGATTCACTCATAGTAACACCACCGAAGTATGAACTTATATTCCCATATCCAACTGCTATTGAACAGCACCACTATGGATGTCAGTGCATCCAAATAAGCCTCGTTCATTAATTCACCACTCATGCATTCAATAAGAACTCAGTGAACAGCTAAGCTCCAGGCTGAGTGCTTGGAGATGGCAGGAGTTTGGGGTAGGGGAAGAGGTAAATCAGACAGCTCCTGTCCTCAAGGAGCTTTGGTTAAGTGGGGTGGCAGGTACTAAATGGCGGCAGCGCTGTATCCTCACTGTTGGAGTGAGTCCCCTGAACCAGATATGCTCAGTGCTGTGAGAGGAGCCAAGACTGGCCCATCCTGGGAGATCTGAAAAGGTCAAAGGGTGAGTGGGTGGGGCAGGCTGTAGCTAAGTGGAACAGTCCTGCAGGCAGAGCACACAGATTGTGTCTGGCCCTGAGACTGGAAGAAGCTTGTCAAACTGAAGAACAGAGGAGCCATGCAAGTAAGGTGAACTCAGGGAGCCAGGGAGGGCTATGAGAGGAGCCTGGAATGGTCCATGGGGCCAGATCAGCCTCCATCTCTGCTCCTCCGCCCTGGGTCCCAACAGCCTCCAGCAGTGGAATTCCAGAAACCGACCCTCAGCCTTGTTTGCCTTCTCACTGAATGTATAGGTTCTGCTTCCTAAATAGCTCTTGAATCCTTCCCTGCCCCTCCACACCCACCACCACGCCCTAGTTCCTGGCCTCTGTTGGTTCCAGCATGGCCACCTCGATAGTGTCCCAACTCATCTCTCTGACTCTCCACCTGCCATTCCAGACCATTCTGCACACAGCAACCAGGGCCAAGCTGACCAAGTCACCCCTGCTCAAGATACTGTAATGGTGCCCCTTGTCAACAGGACGAAGCCCGAGCCCTTAGTCTGGCGTTCAGGCCCTTCAATTCTGATTCCAACCTGCCTTTCCAGCTTCACCTTCTCCCCGCCCTACCCTAGACCTGTGCTTCTTCGATTCTCCTGAACCCTTTGCACGATTTATTCTCTCTGCTGGCAATGCCAGGTCTCTCCCTCTCCTATCCCCCCACTCCCATGCTGTAAAAACCAGCTCAAACATTTTTTCTTCTGAAACCTTCCCTGACTGCCTTTCACTAACCAGGGCACAGCCATTGCCGCCCACCCCAAATGCCCCACTTCCATTGTTCCCTGCATTCTGGTGCTGTTTGTTTATCTGCCTTGCTGCCTGAGCCGTAAGTTCTCTGGAAAGGAGAATGCTTCATTTATTTCTATCTCCCTGGTGCCCAAAAAATGTTAAAGGAGGGAGCAGAGGATAGTGGTCCCAAAGGTAGAAATGGTACCTGCTTTGGGGAAAAGGATCTGAAAGGGAAGTAATTGCTTTCCCCTCAAATACCCCCAAGGATGCTGTGAGAGACCAAGAGAGCCCCCAGGTACACACAAAGACCCCATATGGTGTGGCCTGGGTCACAGTGCCTGATGTGTCTGCGGCAAAGGGGTAAGGATGTCTCCCTCCAGCCTGAGCCAACCCCCTCTCTTATGCTTCTTTCCTCTGGCTCCTCTGGGATGAAGAGAGGACCAGGGGAGTATTCTGGACCAGGAATGAAATGATCTGGGTTTTTGCATTCACTCAACAAATATTTATTAAGTGCCTACCATATTCTATGCACTGTTCTAGTCACCAAGAATTCAGCTATAAATGAGATGTGGAGAGTCCCTGTCTTAAAGAGCTTATGTTTTAATGGGGTGATAGTGAACAAAGAAATACAATAGACGCATAGCATGTTATA